ACAGCTTTTGTGCTTTGGATGTCTAACTTCGCGACCACTGGAGAGAGAAAAAACAGCATGTCACTTGGCCCTCTTTTTCCAAAACTGACTTCCAGAAGCTATTGCACTTCTCATTACAAAAGCTTAGGGTGAAAATGTAGTGGAGGAGTAGACATCCTGGTGCCCTTCAGAAGTTTGGATTATAGTTCCCACATACTCCAGCTAGCATGTCAAAGGTCAGAAGGCATAGAGATACAGGCTGGAGGACACCAAGCTGCCAATTTCAGATACAGCATGAACATAAATCTATCTATCTATCTATCTATCTATCTATCTATCTATCTATCTATCTATCTATCTATCTATCTATGTATGGAGGAAATCCTATGCAGGCTTCTCCATAGCACAGTGATCACACAGTAGTACCGAGAATCCTGGGACTTTGCAATGATTGGCTGTTTTTCTTATCAGCCTCCTACATATATTGCAGTCCCTAAAGAGGTGGATCTGTAAACAATCCATTCATATGAACTTGGCCTTGGAGTCAAATTCCAGATCCACACATTCCAGATCCACAATTAACTACAGTAGTTGGTTGAATGAGATGTAGTCATAATAACTTACTTGTGGCATCATTTTTTTAAAAATCCATTGAAATGACTGTCCCATCCCTTCTTTTCATTCCTCCATCATTATTTAGGCCAGTGTTTCTCAATCTTGGCAACTTTAAGGTGTGTGGACTTCAACTGCCAGAATTCCCCAGCCAGCCAGTCGTTCTGGGAGTTGAAGTCCACACACCTTAAAGTTCCCAAGGTCGAGAAACATTGATTTAGGCTAACTGAATGAGATGAAGTCATAATTACTTCTTGCAGATGGTGCAGTTAAAAAAAATAGCAGCAAAATGACTATGGAAAGAAATGTCCCATCCTGTTCTTTGTTTATTATTATTTTAGCTAATATTATTTATTTACATTTATTATAGCCAACCACTCCCATAGACTCTCTCCATCCCAACAATCCTTTGCCATAGAAATAGAGAATACTTTAACGGATGAAAAGATGTTGGTTCATCTATATGGCAGGAAGGAAGAGAACTGGAGAGGATGGATTCGTTCTGAAAACTAAGATGGATGCTCTGAAATTTATAAAGGAAAATGTATGCAAAACACACATGTGTTAGCATTTTCACTTAAGATAACAGCTGAATAATTTTCAGGCTTTTCAGTCATAGTTTTCTGAAATAAACACAAATGCAAAATGTACACAAACATCTTCTTTCCCCCTTGTTTTCCATGCATAATTTTGAATTGGCTCTCCAAATCTTCTAACTTTGTTAGAAGTTGTTTGTTTTTTAATTTTTTGTTTTATATTTGTTCTTTCTAAACTGACTTGAGACGTTCAGCTGTACGACATTTATTTATTTAAAACAACTAAGCCTATAAGCTGTTCATATTCTGCTTTCTGTAATAGAAACCTCACTCCTATAGCAAAGTCCTGCACCTGTTTTTTTTTTCCCCTGGTTTCTTCCTTGCCATATAAAACATTGGCTCCTTCTTCTATCCAGCTATTAGGATTGTGTTTTATTACAATTAATGCATGCATATCAAAATTGTAGGGCCCAGGCAAAAGGATTGCTACTGGATCAGCTGAAGAATTAATGGACACAAGTTTGACATCAGGACTCAGAACAAGAACATAGTAATATCATAACATTTTAATTCTGCAGGACACTCTGCTACTCTCAAAGTAGCCATTTAGGAAAAAACGAAACTTATCTAGCACAATCGAGCAAGAAATTGCTGAACTCACATACATCAAAAGGTTTCAGACTATCTCAGAAGATCTCAACAAATGCAGTGGATTTTTAACACATTGCAATTGCTAATGGATGTTTCTGATTAAATTTTTTTAGTTGAAAATGGTGCTACCAGACTCCTGATTTTTTGATAAGTTACTTACAGTATAATCTATCTCACATTGAAAAGGTGCTTCTGACTCCTGATTTTTGCTTACCATAGACTAACATGGTTCTCTCCCATCATGGCTAAATGGGACTATGTAGACCTCTGTGAATAAGTGAATGATTCTGCTCTCCCCCTTCACCAATATCTTCAGCATCTAAAGGCATCTGGCAGGAGTATTCACCCTGGACAACAGTTCCAGCATTAATCTCTGTCTCCTCTTACCTGTTCTTCTCTTTAGCCAAGGCTTAGGTGATTGTAGTATTGTAAATGCGAAAAAAAGGGTGTTGTGTGGCCTGCCCATCTTCCATGTTCTTCTTCCTCCACAAAATGCAGGGCCACCTCTAACTCTCCACTGGTGAAGTACGCATCTGTCATGGATTTTGACCAGGACTAATCATCTTGCCTGTCTCCATGGGCTGCTGCTTCATATGATCTTTGGGATAGGAAACTCACTAAATGCCTCCTGCAGCAAGTCATCCTGTTCTTCATCCATGTCATCCCTCCTGCATTTCTGTCAGGATACAGCATGATCCAAGGAGCTCAGCAAGGCTAGTGTGGTGGAAATGGATGACTCACCTGACAGGTGCTCTTCTTCCCCCTGAGCCAAGATGGGGCCTTAGTCTGTGTTCCACGTCTCCCTCCTTTCTTTCTCTTTTCACACTGCCACCACTTTGCAGTTCATCATTTCACGTGCTGAATTATTGCAATCAAATGGTCATAAGGTCAAAGCATATTTGCTGCAAAGAAAGGCTAATGTTCTGAGAAATTTTTGATTTAGGAAAAAAAATAAGCCAGTTAAAGATGGAAAGCACAGAGATTTATAAAAGGATTCATGCTGTAGAGAAAATAGCCTCGTGATAAAAATGTCTTCTTTCATCGCACTTGAGCTCAGGGTCACCCAGTTAAATTGGGAGAAGATTAAGGATAGACTAAAGGAAGGACTTCTCTGAACAGCACAGAATTAATTCATGGTTGGCAGCCATCAATTATGATTATAGATTAAGTCTGCATTTAAAAGAGAAATTAGGCAAATATATGGAGTCAAATTCTGTCAGTGGGTGTCTCAGAGGTCAGTATCACAAGCATCAAGCTCACTTTGACCCCTGAAAGCCTTAGCTGTGGAGTCCAGAGTCTTCCAACAGTGGCCATCAAATTTTAAGGCTGACTGTAATATAAGAGAAAAAAACATTAATGAAGTAGGACATGAGGATTTTAATTGTTTATTTATTATAAAGTAATCTGTATTAAATGTAAACGTAATGAAGTCAAATATAGCTACGAGATAACAGACTGATATTTGAAAGTGGAAATTCTCCTTCTATAATGCCCAATTACATAGACGCAAGACAATTTACCAAAATAAGCAAATAAAATACAAGCAATCATAAAAAGCCCTCCACCCACTATAAAATCCATAACCTCATAACAAAATCTATAACCAAAATAAAATATAATCATAACAACAATTAAAACAACAGCCCAACACATCTACTAGTACCCACAAACCTGTCAAAACAGGATTATTTTAACAGACTTATAAAATGCCTGCAGGATGGCAGCCAAATGAGCCTCAGACAGTAGATTTTGCTCCAGTGTTGGGGCTACCCCTGAGAAGGTGTGCCTCTGAGTCCCACTTAAATATCCCACCTTGGGATGATCACAAAGAATGACTAGAATCCAGTCAGAGGAGATGAACCTGCAAGTAAGTAGGAGCCAAGCCATGTAGGGCTTTATACAACAAATAGAAAAATATATCACCAGGTGATCTGAAATACAGTCTTCCAGGATGGGGCACAAATATGGGTAAGTGTGCTATGTTGGACGTGACCCATATCTTTATACTAATGTTTCCTAATGGCTAGAACTCCTCAGGTTCACAACCTGATAGCCCGGTGACGGTGCTTTTTGGGAATAACAGACGTTGTCCCAACACAGCTGAAAGAAGTGAGGCTAGACATGGCTGCCCTATGCTGTATTATATGACATTCACAAGGAGGCCATCTACAGAGGGCTAGCTTTGAATGTTTCCCCAGTTCAAGGCTGTTTAATAGAGCCCAAATAAGGCAGGAATATTGAAATCTACGAACCCCACCTCTTTGCTCTCTCAAAATTAGACAGATTATACCCATGACTGAAAAGCTAAAAGCACCAGATGGAGGGGTCTGGCCCTCCCCTGTGTAATTCTAGTAGTGATCATAGGCCTGGTGAAATCTGAGAACAGGAAGTGTTATTTGGCCATTTCTCAAAACTGCAAGATGCATTCTTATTTTCAGTTCTTTATTTAGATCTCGTCAACTACGGCGTGGTTGTTTACTCTTTGACCAGCTCCCTTTCTTCCCTTGCTCTGCCTCAAAACCTCATTGCATCCTCCTCTGTGGAAATCACGATGCATAATCGAATTATGGGACTCAGAGAGGACCCTGGTCTTCCCGGTCCTCTTGTCCTCCAAGCAGCGGCAGATAAAGATAAGAGTTGGACAAACCGATTGCTGTTTCTTTGTTCCTGCAGGGCTGCTCCACATGAGAAGCTAACAGTCATTCAGCGAGGGGCTCCAGAGTGTTGTGCCTCGGGTAAGAAGAACTGAGTGGCTGCGAGATTCATTCACCGATTCATTCATTCATTCATTCATTCATTCATTCATTCATTCATTCATTCATTCATTCAAAGGGGGGGGGAGTGGATCTTAAGGGGAGAATAGTGGACACGAGAAAGTAGTGGCGAACCTCGCGAATAAAGAAGTGTAAAAGAAAAGAAGGAGCGGGGAGAATCAGCCAGCTAAGCCACTCTGAGGAAAAGTAGTTAAAGGGCGCGATTGACAATTCTGCGCAGGGAAGGGTTAACCGCGTCCTTCTGGTTAAGTTTACATGTAAATAGCGAGCAGCTGCTACTGCTCCTCTCCGGCTGAGGCTGGCCCACTGGAGCTTTTGATTGGCTTTCAATGACATCACTCGCTCCGCAGGTTATAACACAGAAAGCCCGAAGCGACTGCGACCAAACCATCCCTTAAGAGACGAGGGGCCAGCCACAAGCTCCGCCCACTTACTCATTCGCTACCAATCGTTGGCATCTCCGCGAGGGGCGGAAAACAAGCTTCCGGGAGAGAACGCTTATTGGATGAAGGCCCCGTCTATCTCTTCTACTGCCTCGGCCCCTTTCGAACCTTACATTTACTGGGTAGCAAAAGAGAAAGTAAGTATGTTGCAGCTGGAGATCAATGAAGCCAAGTGAATGGGGCTTGATGTGTAAATCGATCACCGCAGCCGAGCGCCAGGTGCTGGAGGACATCCATTCATTTATGAAGTAAGTGGGTGACTTTCTTTCATACGGGAGAGAGGCCGTGCCTGGGTGTTTATGTAGACAACACAAGAGCTTCGAAAAGAGTTTTTTTCTTTTTTAAGGAGAGAGAGTTGGGTCGAGAAAAATGAGAGCGCTGCCCCTTTCCCTAACCCCCACCCCCCACACGACGTCCCTCCTGTCACCGTTTGTGCGTTTCTCTCTAGCGGATGTCCACCGAATGAATCGGACGCGAGAAAGCCGCTCTCGTGTGGGATTGCTGCAGTATCTAGGGGGGTGGGGATCGGGGTGCGTAAGAGGCGCTCGGCTTCGGCAGCCCTCGAACGTCCCCCGGGAGAACGTCCTCCCTTTCCTGGGAGCTGTGGAACTGGGCGAGCCCGAGGAGGGGTCGTTGTGTGTATTGTCGGCTGCGATCTTCTTCAGTCGCGGCACTGACTTAATGGCTTGGCCGGAAAAAATATAAATTGCCTCTGCTGCAGAGATGCAGATCTTCCCGAATAGCCTTGCCGTCGGGAAGAAGCAGGACTATCTTACCTATACGTCCTCCCAATATGCTCTGTAGATGTTTTAAATAAAATCCTCTCACGTTCCACGCCTGACTCGGTTATAAAAGTCACAGCATGCTCCTGGTTCTGGTTTTAGAAAGTACTGTTTGTCTCTCTGGGTGTCCCCCCTCTCCCCCTCCCCGCCTTCGCTCCCTTCTTATTTCTCAGAGAGCCCGAGGTGCACGCGCTCACACGCACCAAGATTTGTGCTTCACAAACGAGAGGGAGAGGGGTTAAAACGCTACTTTTCTATATTTCACGTTTCTTGACTCTGCCTGGCATTATTGGGCTGCTTCTTTCCACTAGATGACAGCTTATTCTGTCCTCTTTTGCAGCAGCGATTTAAATTCATCCTGCAAATCCCCTTGGTAGAGAGAAGAGCATTACTTATTTTGCCTGACTGTTATCTTAGGATAAGGGCTGTGGAGGTGGTGAAGAGACGCTATGATTTTAGAAGAGAAGCCAGCTGACTACAGGAAAGGAATAGAGAAGAATTACTTTTCCTTTTTAAAAACCTGCCTCCTTAAATGGGGTTAAAAACCATTTTTGCTTTTTGTTCTAAATTAAGGCACAGCTCCTTTGGAGGAGATGAACACAATTGCCCTTACTTTTGTTTGCTGTAGTCTGATCCTACTCTGAACTTAAGTTCTTATGACTTAAATGGGAATTGGTTATCCATAACTATGGTTAAGTTTCCAAGTTTCAGAGACTCGGAAGATGATGCAATAACCTTTTTTTAAAAGCAGTGTCATTTTTGACCCCTTTCAATTAGACTGGGCCAAGTGCCAGTGTAACTGGTCACTCAGCAGTGCTGTAAAGCTAATATAAGATATGATCTTCCAAGGTAATAGGGAGGTTTAATTTTTTTATTAAGAGAAATAATCTCAAGCTATGTAATCATGTGTCCAGCAGTAATGAGAAGAGTTTGGGTACCTTGAGGTTTGGATGTTCCAGAGTTGTCATTAAATGATTGTGTTAACATCTGAATAAAGAACAGTTCCAGAATAGTAGTTCTACTAGAGATACATGACACCCTCCCATTTTTTAACATTTCCCCTTTCTTTTCAAGGTTTGTTTTCATTACCAGACAGTGTATTGATGCATTCTTCCTCCTTCCTTGGCAATGTTGAAAATGTCTTGTTAAAGAAAAGTTGCAACATTTTCTTCCCCCATCAGATTTATTTTCCTTGCTTTCTTAAGGGGTTATCTTCACATTAGTAACGTTTGACTATTTCATTTATGGATTATGTAGGAGAAAGCCTGGGAGTAGATCAGGAACTTTTCTATAATCTTTCTTCCCTTTTAGAACAGGGTTAGCGATGCTTCCTTGTAGGAGTTGTGTGATGCTACCTGCTCCACAGACACTGTGGTAGGTTGTCTACTAAAGTAAGATTGTTAGGTTAATCTGCTTGCCCAACCTCTATTTCTCTGCTGTTTAGTGTAATTGTGTAGATTATCCAATTAAAATAACAGATCATGATAAATTTGAAGCAAAAAAAAAAAGTTCATGATTTTTCAACTTTTTCTAATAAAAGAGAAGCCAAGAAGCTATTGGGGCTAGATCATTTCCAAGCAGAAAACTTGTTCAGTGACTCCACTGGTGTCCGGTACTTACTATTTACTCTCAAGCATATGCATTCATAACATTACCCTTAAAGTTTAAATGTGAGATAAAGGGGTTATACTGTAGCAAATGCCACCCTTGTGCCCACATGAATGTGGCATACATAAAGTCTTAGTTTGCAAAGGATTGCAGTTTGTCAGTTCTGCAGTTCCATAGAGGTTGGGTTGAAGGATTTTCTGATTCATTTACACTCGTGCTTCTAAATAAGTGAAAAAGTAACACAGCTTTAGTTTTCCAATGCTTCTTTGCTAAATGACAGCTGCCACTAATGGTTTTCTTTGCTTTTATGCCAAACAGCTCTTGGAATTATCAGTGTTAAGGGAGAATCCCACACAGGTATGAGAATGAAAGCTTGTCCATCACAGATAACTTATTTTTTCTCCTCCTCTTCTTTTGTTTTTAACAGAGAGAGCTTGAGTTCCTTTGACTTCCCATTCTCAGCCTCCTCATGCCTCCTTCTCCACTAGACGACAGGGTTGTAGTGGCACTCTCCAGGCCTGTAAGACCTCAGGATCTCAGTCTTTGCTTAGATTCCAGCTACCTTGAACCTGCTTCCTCTGCCAGTGAGAGCCCTGTGAGTCTTCTCAGCACGGCTGTTGTGTCCATCAAGGCTGCTAATCTGACGTATATGCCCTCATCCAACGGCTCTGCCCGCTCCTTGAGTTGTGGATGCAGCAGTGCCAGTTGCTGCACTGTGGCAACATACGACAAGGATAATCAGGCCCAAACCCAAGCAGGCACCAGCAGCATCTCTGCCAGCGTAGGAACCTTGACTACTTGCCCAGCAACCCAAATGGTCAACAACAATGAGAACTCTAGCCCTCTGAGTCCATCAGGTGGAGTGGGGAGCCCAATCTCAGGTCCAACAAAGCAACTGGCAAGCATCAAAGTCATCCATCCCAATGACCTGGCAAAAAAGATGACCAAATGCAACAAAAGCCACCAAGGCCCAGTCATCATTGATTGCCGGCCTTTCATGGAGTACAACAAAAGCCACATCCAAGGGGCTGTTCATATCAATTGCTCTGATAAGATTAGTAGGAGAAGGCTTCAGCAGGGCAAGATCACTGTCTTGGACTTGATCTCTTGCAGAGAAGGCAAGGACTCCTTTAAAAGAATCTTTTCCAAAGAAATAGTTGTTTATGATGAAAATACTAATGAGCCGAGCAGAGTAATGCCTTCACAGCCATTGCACATAGTGCTGGAGTCTCTCAAGAGGGAAGGCAAGGAACCCCTGGTTCTCAAAGGTATTTATAACGCTGTTCTGCTTTTGTTCTCCCCTGGAACTGATTTAAGCTGGGCAAAGAAGATCTGAACCAAGTTAAACTTGACTGGGTTACCCATTCCTACACACATATACTGATTCTTACTTGTGATGTTCAGAGGAGATCACAGCAATCCAGATACTTTCTGGAGCTTCTGTGTTTCCTGGGAAGGGAAAAAACAAAACACAAACCCATATGAAACTATTATTTAATAATAGTTTTTTTGTGGCACTATTAATAGAAAGGACCATGAGCAGGATTCCATCTAAAGATCTCAAAGCACAGGCTGTTTCAATCATTTCTGGAGCTCCCAGTTGCTAGGGAGAGGAACAGTGCTCCACATGGCAGGGAGGAAGGAGGAAGTTCATACTTCCTTCTGGGGTAATTTCCCCCCTGCCCCCCTTTCTGAAGGACTCATAGCATCTTAGTGATCTAAAAGAATTATTAAAAAAAAAAAAACTTTAAAGTACTTTATTAAAACATTAGATTGACTCGAATGGCCTGGCATTCAAAATACATACTATAAACTCCCTTACAGTATAGTGGTGTGTACATGCTTCAGAAACGATTTGAAATAAATACTTTAGACCTCCAATAAGTGCAGCAGATCTCCACTGTTCATTAAAGTAGCCCAACTTTTTCAGGCTTCTATGTGAACCTGCACATCCCCCCCCCCAAAAAATGCTGCTGCTTTAAGAGTCACATTGATCAGTTGATTTCTTAAAACACTGGCACTTTTTTTCAAATTTGGGCAGAAGCCTGAAAAAAGGGGCTATTTTAATGAATAGAAGAGAGATGCTGCACTTATTTGAGGTCTGAAGTGTGATCAGCCCAATAAAAAGTGTGCCTCATATACTCTCATCCCCCAACTGCATGCACCATATATATATGGGTATGTATGTGTGTATATATTTATATTTACACACACACACACACACACAGGCTTGCTGGTTATTTACTCAGTCATTTTGTGATGCAAAATATCTGGTGATTAGTTACTACCATGCTTATTACCTAAAAGCATAATTGAAAAAAGTCTTGTTGTTCTATTGCTTGTTTTTATAAGGTGGTATCTTATGTTGTTATAATGCTAAGGCTTTCAGTGTAGAATACTGGAGTATTTCACTTTATGACAAGGACATAATAACAATGATAATCAGAGTAGTTTGTAGGCAAAAATAAAACAACAAAACATAAATCCATAACAAACAATATTATCAAAGTTGTGTGGTATTGCCCCTAGAAAGGACCGTGAGAAGGAGCCATCTAAGAATCTGAAAGGCCTGGTTGCTCCAGTAATTTATTCACAATATTTATAACACACAAAGTGATAGATGAGGAGAAATGTTCTTAAAAAGAAAACCTTTGCAAAATACACGCATCATTCATATTCTGAAATCTGATTTGAAGAGGCTGAACTTAAGAGAAATAAGTACTTGAAAAGGCCTGTCTCTTGGGCTTCCATACTAAGTGGTTTTCTTGGCAGGGGCGTGCATAGAGTCTTCAAAGCACATAGGAAGAAATGGTGGGTGATGGTGAAATGACCTCTTATAGGCAGATTTGGACTAGATAGGACTAAGCTGAGCAGCCCTGAAATGAAATAGATGAATTGCAGCTTATTAGAATATACTGTCATGGTTACTGTAAATGTATTCATTTGATGTATACTGCTTTTAATGAGGCAAGTTGTTTCACAGGTTGCATTCAGACTACATCAGTTATAATGAAGTTCCTCTAACATTAATGGGACTTAAGTTAATCACTATAACTAATAATCTCATTGATTCCAATTGCACTTTTCATGAGCAACTTAGTTTGAATGCAATCCCCAAACAAGACTATCAGAATTTTGAAATTCAGCATTTTTAACAAACTGGATAGCAGTAAACTTTCAAATAGCTTAAAGAGCTTTAAGGCAGAAGATTAAAGTTGCTTTTTGCATTAAGGTGCATCTTCCAAAGGCCAAAAGAAAGAGAACAAACTATGTTCTTTATTAATTTAAAAAGGAGAAGTAACCTTTTTAACCTTAAATAGGGAACTGTTACTTGAAATCTGGAATGGGTAAAAAGCTTAGACTTGGTAAAACAGAATTTCAGGTATAATTTTTAGAATGATAACTGAAGTGAGCTTCATAATTCACTGATGAGGAATGGCATGCTCTAAAAATGCAAAGGTTTAGTCAAAAGTTCTACTCATTTTAGAATATTTTCAAGAGAACAACAAAGATAAAGTGGAGAAAAGTTGTCTGGCTGGTTTAAAAAAGTCTACTAAAAAGAAATATGTGTAGATATGCAGCTGTGAGAACTTTGCAATTGAACTTCATGGTAAACTGTCCTTTTGACTGAAAGGCAGTTTTTTTTTTTAAATACAGAAAGTGTACCTTTAGTATGTGTGGTATAACTTTGGGGAATTGAGATTGCAAACTCTGTAGGAATGTGATTTCCATGAGAAACTGCAGGTAGGGGGTAGGGGGAATTATCATCCTGGAAGGTTGGAGAAAGCTATTGATGGCAATAAATGACTTGTATCAGAACTTGAATAAGCAAGACTTCTTCAGTAGCAATTACTGTATTTATCGGTGTATAACACGCACTTTAATTTTAAGGAGGTCTGAGTAAAAAAACTTAAATTTAAAATAAATGACTTGGAAGCAAAATAAAGGGAGCTCTGAA